CATTCTATATAAAAATATGGAAGAGAGGGCACTGGGCACTAGGAGTCCAGAATGGCATAATGTCTGGTGCTGCTATAACAGAAATACCACATGTGGGTGGCTTTAGAGAATAGAAATTTATTTTCTCACAGCTTAGGAGGCTAGAAGTCCAAATTCAGGGTGTGGCTTAGGGGAAGGTCCTTCTTTGTCTACTTCAGTTTCTATAGTCTTGGGGTCCTTGGGGATCCCCACATGACATCTGTGTTCCTCCTTTGTGCTTGCTTATCTCTATGTCATTAAACACAGGTTAAAAACCAAATAAATAAATAAATAAAACACCCCAACAAACTCAAACCCATTGCAGTCATTTTAATTCTGACTCATAGTGGCCCTATAAACAAACAAACAAACAAACAAACAAAAAACTTACTGTCATTGAGTCAGATCCAACTCCTAGCGACCCCTCCTTGGGTTTCCAAGGTGAAATCACTATGGAAGTAGATTGCCCAATCTTCCTTCTGAGGAGTGGCTGATGGGTTTGAACAGCCAGGCTTCTGGTTAGCAGTCAAGTGCCTTAGGCACTATTAAAACTGCCCTGCAGGACTTCCAAGGCTATAATCTTTGTAATCTTACTGGAGATGATTCAAAAATGGTTGCAGGAGTATAATGACAAAAAACTTCCAGAAATGCAAGCTGGATTCAGAAGAGGACATGGAATAAGGGATATCATTGCTGATGTCAAATGGATCTTGGCTCAAAGCAAAGAATACCAGAAGGATGTTTACTTGTGTTTTATTGACTGTGCAAAAGCATTTGATTGTGTGGATCATAACAAATTGTGGATAACAGTGAGAAGAATGGGAATTCCAGAACACTTAATTGTACTCATGAGGAACCTGTACATAGATCAGGAGGTTGTCATTCAAACGGAACAAGGGGATACTGCATGGTTTAAAATCAAGAAGGGAGTGCGTCAGGGTTGTATCCTTTCCCTATACTTATTTAATCTATATGCTGAGCAAATAATCTGAGAAGCTGGACTATATGAAGAAGAACGTGGCATTAGGATTGGAGCAAGAATCACTAACAACCTGTGATATGCTTATGACACAACTTTGCTTGCTGAAAGTGAGGATGACTTGAAGTACTTAGTGATGAAGATTGAAGAATACAGTCTGCAGTATGGATTACATCTGGATATAAAGAAAGCAAAAATCCTCACAACTGGTCCTATAAGCAAATTATGATAAATGGAGAAAAGATTGAAATTGTCAAAGACTACACATTGCTTGGTTCTACAATCGTCGCCAATAGAAGTAGCATTCAGGACATCAGACGATGTATAGCACTGGGCAAATTGGCTGCAAAGGACCTCTTTCAAGTGCTGAAGAGCAAAGATGTCTACTTGAGGACTAAGGTGCACCTGACACAAGTCACGGTATTTTCAATCGCCTCATATGCATGTGAGAGTGGACAATGAATAAGGAAGACTGAAGAAGAGATGACGCTTTTGAGCTGTGGGGTGTTGGCAGAGTACTGAAAGTACCATGGACTGCTAAAAGAACTAACAGTTCTGTCCTGGAGGAAGTGCAGCCAGAATGCTCCTTGGAGGTGAGAAGGACCAGACTTTGACTCACATACTTTGGTCATATTGTCAGAAGGGACCATTCCCTGGAGATGGATGTCATGCCTGGTAAGGTGGAGGGTTGACGAAAGAGGGGAAGGCCCTCAATGAGATGGATTGACACGGTGGCACTGGCGATGGGCTCAAGTATAGCAGGGATTGTGGAACTGGCTCAGGACTGGGTAGTGTTTCATTCTGCTGTGCATGGGGTGGCTATAAGTGGGGGATGACTCGACAGCACCTAACAACAACAACAGTCTTTGCAGAAGCAGACTGCCACATCTTTCTCCTGCAGAGTGGCTAGTGGTTTTGAACTGCAGTCCTTTTGGTTAGCAGGTGAGCACTTAACTACTACACCATGAGGGGTCCTTAAAGACATAGATTACTGCTCTCTTTATATCTCAAAAGCAATTAGGTTTAAGACACACCCTACACTGATATGGTCTCATTAACCCAACAAAGGAAACCCTATTCTCAAATGAGATTACATCCCAAGCAAGGGATAGGTAGGGGTATGTAGGGATTAGGACTCCAACACATAATTGAGGGGCACACAATTCAATCCATGATATATGGCCATTGCTGAGAATGTTTAAAAGGTGTGAATTCTTCCCTCTGATGTCAGATGGCAGGGAAGAAGCGCCAGAGGTGGGCCATGAATGGGGCCTGTTGTGTGGGCAGAATTAGAGTCTGTGTGCTGAGGTGAGAGAAACAAGAACAACCCTCTCACCCACCAGTCCCGGGCGATGACCTCTGTGGTGACCCCTGGGCCTGGCTGCCCTATAGCTGACTCACTTCTGAGATGAGCTTTGCAGTCTTCCTCCAAATCAGCTTAGGGACTGAAAGGCCCAGGCTGTCAGGCAAGTGGATGGTGAGTGACAGCAATGCCAAGTGCAGGAACTGTGCTGTCGTCCCCTGGCCCCTCCTGCTGTGGCCAGGCTAGTGCGCAGAGCAGGATCCACCTGCCTTCCTGGTCTGCAGGATGAAACCTGATGCCAAGCAGCTCATAAAGTGATCTGTAGGATTCGACTGCAGCTTGTTCTCCGAGTCCCTGCCACACACAGACATTGTACCTTGGCGGCAGTTTTTCTATTTGAACGTCCAAAGGACAAACTAAACACTTAAAATCTGCAAGCTGGACAGTCTTTGCTTTGGAGCCTGCAGTGAATTCCTTCATTGTGACAGTCACATTGTCCTTCTCAGCATTGATGTAGTATTTAGGATTCAGGAAGAAAGAGGGCTAGGGGAACCAGAGTGCTAGAGAAGGCTGTGGCTGTGTGAGCGTGGCCTTTGGGGTTCAGAGTCTTTCTTTATCCAGCACCACACCCAGCCGGATGTCCATGCTTAGTTCTTGCTCCAGCATTCTGTGCTAGACTTGAGTTTGAGAGGCAATAAGAGCCTCTATATCTTTATATAAAGATATAAAGAGTAAAGAAGGCTGGCGGTTCAAACCCACCAGCCACTCCTCGGAAGGAAGGTTGGGCAGTCTACTTCTGTAGTGATACTGCCTTGGCAACCCAAGGAGGGGTCCTATGAGTCGGGGCCGACTTGACGGCACATAACAACAACAACAAGAGCGTAAGGAAGACCATGCATGCCCTGTGAGTTAGGAGCCCTTGGTCTTGGCTTGGCTCAGCCACAAACACCCTCATCTCAGGCAAACCTTCTTTTCCAGTCATCAGTTTTCTTCTCCATTAAAAGGAGATTAAAAGAGAAACTTAGGGGACAGTGAGTCTAAGTCAGTGATGGTGGAACAATTCAATGAAAGATGGTGAGAGTGTTTGCACAACTTGAAGAATATAATCAATGCCAACAAGTTGTACATGGAGAAATTGTTGAAATGGTATATGACTGTGTATATTTTCACCAGTTAAAAAAAAAAAAAAAAGATGAACCAGATCTCCAAGCCCTTGGTTGGCAGACCTTAGAGAAGGAGTTTTCAAAGGAGAAGAACTAGAACATGAAGAGGCCCAGGGATGAGAGGACACAATGTGCTGATTGATCAGCTTATTTCATAGTTTCTTTAATTGTGGTCAACAGTAGGAACTTGGCAACAGGCAGCCTGTTTTTACTGTAAGTTTCTGCTTTCCAGGCTCTTGGCAAAGGGCCCAGGCTTCTGGAAGGAGGTGGCTTGGGCTGTGTTGGTTACCAATCACTGGCTACCTCGTGCTAGTGGCCATGTTCCCTGGTTATGTGAGAACTTGATCTCCATCTGGGCCTTGTGATCTTCCTATCAGATGGCATGGGTAGTATTTCTTACTTTAACTTTCCCTACTTATCTGATTTGAGTGGTAGTCTTTTCCTTTTCCTTGAGGTCAAGTTTAGTATCTAGACACAGGGGTCAGCTCCAAGGTATCCAGAGATGGCTGAGATGGCTGACAGCAGAGAAGAGCTATGAGCCCCTAGGTGTTAGACTGATGCCATTCCAAGGAGCCCTCTAGGAATCTGGCTGTGCAGAGAGTCAAGACTGAGGCCTCATCTCTGCATTTTCCTGATAGTCAAGGGCAACAGCTCTGTGTTGTATCATCACCAAGATCAAGAGACACGTGTACTCGCCCAATCTTAATTTAACTTACAGTCCCTGCCAATTTCGTGTTAGCAGATCTGCTTGGAGCTGGAAGTAATGGGCCATATCATGCCTCAGAGCTGGAGCAATGACTTATGTTGATGTCACCCACTGGCTTTTTATGGAAATTATTAATAAATCAGTAATTCTATCTGCAGTGATGTTGTTGTGTTTATAAATATTTAATTTACCTTCAGGTGCCCACATTTTCTCCATCTTTGCCTTAAACTCTGCTGACATTGCTTTTCTTTCCGAAGAGTCATTCAATAGATTCTGCTATCAGTAGTGGGAAAGGTTAACTTATTTCTCAGTTTCTCTCTCTCTTTTTGGAATATGACTTTATCTTCTCTTTTTAATCTTTGTGTGATTTTGCTCTGGGGGTTGGAAATCAAGCTGGGAGAATGCGACGTCTCTTGTGACAGTGATGAAAGATTCGTCCAGCTTCAGAAGAAGGAGACCCAACTTTCCAATTATGACCTTGTCTAAGTAGAGACCTGTTGTTGGCATGTTTTTTTTTCCTTCCTCAAATTAATGACATTTAGAATCTGAGATGGTGTCTGATGTTTTCCTCCCACAGAGAAATATTTTTGTCCTTGCCACAGACTTATCTTTTGAAACCCAAGGCTTTGATTATTGTTATATGGCAGGTTGAATGGAAAGGACGTAAGAAAATCAAAATAGAAACAGAGTCCGAGTCGGGTATTTCTCAGCAGAGCTGGAACGCCAGCCTTGGGAAGGAGGATGGCAGCTGAGAACAACAAAAACTTTCTTGCCTCTCAGGATCCAATGTGAGCTAATTGTTATTATTATCTTTTTATTCTTCTGTTTCAGGAAATTGCAGCTTATTTAATAACATTTGAGAAACACGAAGAATGGCTAACCACATCCCCTAAGACAAGGTAATGTCCCAGATCTTGCAGTTTTTCAAATATGAACAGTCGATTGATTGATTTCCATTGATTTCCTGATTTGGCCAGTGGATACATGGTCAATAACTTAAAAATGCCATGTTGTGCTTGCTGGCTCATGACGTTGAGGTCTCATTAATTGACCCAAGCCTGTGGCTATGAATGTGATCAGATGGATTAAAGGCAGTGGCACTGCGGTCGTACAAGTTTGAGCTTTGTGGTATAACTCCTGGAACATTTAGCTCAGTGATTTAATAGCTAATTCTTCACACAGGTGCTTGGGAGCGTGGCAGGCAGGAATGTCAGTGGGTGTTTATCTTGGGAAAGTGCTCACCTACCATCAGTGTTTTCTAGAAACACACACACACACAATTTTTAAAAAGGAGACTAGCTTAACTGCCCACATTTATCTCAAAATGTTTTAAAAATGGAAGTTCAAGTTATTCTTTATTGGTGATAAAAAGATCCTCCCTCCATCAGAAGCAATGGATGAGCTTCCAGTTTATTATGCATTTAACATCCTTGAACTTACAAACTGCCGCAAACTAATGTCTCTCACCACTTGGGAATAGAGAAAATTAGCTAAAATATAGCTGACCTTTGTTCTGCCAGTGTAATTGATGCCATTATTTTGTTAAGAATCACAAAGTTTGAATTAGAGCTTATTTTAAAGGCAGCCTCTTTTTTCCTCCCCAGTTTTTAAGTTTTTGTTTTTGGTAGGTTACATTGTACCAAAACCAAACCCAATCCACTGACTTTGAATTGATTCTTACTCACAGGGACCCTATAGGACAGGGTAGAACTGCCCCATAGAGTTTCCAAGGCTATACATCTTTATGGAAGCAAGCTGCCTCATCTTTCTCCCATAGAGTGGCTGGTAGGTTTGAACTGCTAACCTCTTGGTTAACAGCTGAATACTTTAATCACTGTACCACTATAGCTCCTTGTTACATTCTAGAGCCTGGAAAATGTGTGGCTACTCTCTTCCATTTAGTGTGACTTTTCTATGAGTAGAGACAGGATCAAGTGTTTATTAGTTTGAAGGGTGTTGTTAGTTGGGGTGCAACTTATAGCATGCTTGGTCTGTGGGTTTGAATTGAAGAGGTGAAATGCCCAGTCTGTTTTGCTTTGGTCAGAAGCACCAAAGTCTTGGAAATTGTTAAGTAGGACCAAAGAAAGGGGAAGAGGTGTGTCCTTTGCCCCCTTGGCAGTTACCTTGACCATCCTCTCTGAGCCAAGGAGGAAAGAGGTCTTTGTGTTCTAGAAGGTTTATTTACTCATTCTAGAAGAAAAAGGTCCCTTGGTTAGGCTTAGGTTTTTGCTGGTTAACATTCATTTTGGAGGAGATGGAAAATATTGAGGAAAAGGAGATTAGTTACTGAGATTTTTCACTCCCTATTTCTTTCTCTCAGAAAAATAGAGGTTGTCTTCCCCTTTTTTGGCAACACCCAGGTGGAGCTCTAATTTACTGACCTTTCAGTCTAAGACCTTGAAGAGAAGCTTCTTCAGGATGTCCTCAACACTCAGCCTTCTGGGACCTTGATTTCCTTTGCTAAAAAATGAAATGGTTTGTATTAGTCAGCTTTTCCTGTGATAATACTATGTAAGAAAGAATCTCAAAACATTTATAACTTTCATTTCCTGCTTATGGGTCAGTGGTTGGGCTGTGGCTTTGGCTTGGGCTCAGGAGTGCTCTGTGTGTCTTTTTGTTCTAGGATCCAGGCTGAAGAAGCCACCATTATTTGGGGCACCTGATTCTCATTGTAAAGGGAAGGGGCTTACAAGTTCAAGGCAGTCTATAGAGCGTAATTAAAACTCCTGGTTGGATGTGGCATCATATGCCACACCCCTTCACATTTCACTGGCCAAAGAAAGACCTATGGGCAAGTCCAATATGACATTTTTTTCATAGAGTGAGCGGGAGCCGGTTGGGAGTAGAGTGTGAACGGTAATATAATCTGCTATTTGGTGAGTACGGTCATATCACAGACTGTGGAAAGCTTGGCACATTTATCTCTTCTTTCTTCCAAGGGCATCTTTTTCTAGGGCAGCAGTTCTCCAACTTGAGAGTGCATCAGAATTTCCTGGAGGGCGTGTTAAAATGCAGATTGTTGGACTCCACCCCCAGAGTTTCAGAGTCACTAGGTCTGGGCCAGGGCCTGGGAATGTGTTATTTTTAACAAGTTCCCAGATGATGCGATGCTCCTGGCCTGGGTCCTCATTTGAAGAACCATTGCTCTAGTTTCTCTGGGGAGAAAGGCTTGTCTGATTTCTGCTTTTCTGCTATTTCCTGACTCCCAATGGTGACTCTCATCTCAAGCAGCCTCCAGACTCTTTATGCGCCCTTTAGTCCTTAGCGAAATACTCTCCTGAAATGGAATTGGAAGGAAAGAGCTTCTTTTTAGTCAGAGAGTAAGATTCACTACAGTGTGTCCTGGGCCAGACGCCCGATACCTGATGTGCAGCTGTTTGCTTTACTTCTGTCACTCTGAGTACAGGACAGAAGAACACCCCGAGGGGGGTTTTACCTCGTGTTTCAGCTTTGGGAATGTTGGTGTCCATTAAGAAGTGAATGTCACTCATAATCATGCTTGACTTTTTAAAATATAAATAGGGCCAAGAGACATCCCATCCTGAAGCACAAGGGCATGGGTGACAGAAGAGAAGGAATGTGGGCCTTGAATATTGAGAGGTGTGTGTTGAGCCCTGGCTCTGTCATTAAGTAGCTTTGTGATGTTAAGAAGCTCACTTTGTTGTTGTTATTAGTTGCTGTTGAGTCAGCTTGGACACATGGTGAAGGGAATGTTGCCCAGTCCTGTACAGTCTTCATGATAATGCTTAATGTATGTCATCTTCACGTATGTTTAAACTCACTGTTGCAGCCACTGTGTATTTTGAGCGCCTTCCAACCTAGGAGATTAATCTTCCAGCACTTTGCTGGACAATGTTCTGTTGTGATCCATAGGATTGTCATTGGCTGTTGTTGTTTGTTGTTGTAATATGCCATCAAGTCGATTTCAACTCATAGCAACCCCTTCTTGGGTTTCCGAGGAGTATCACTACGGAAGTAGATTGCCCCATCTTCCTTCCGAGGAGTGGCTGGTGGGTTTGAACTGCCAGCCTTCTGGTTAGCAGTGAAATGCCTTAGGCATTATGCCACCAGAGCTCCTTGTCATTGACTAGTTTTTGGAAATAGATCACTAGGCATTTCTTTCTAGTCTGTCTTAGTCTGGAAGCTCCAGTGAGACCTATTGAGCATGGATGACCTTGCTGGTATTTGAAATACCTGTGGCATAGCTTCCAGCATTCTAGCAACATGCAAGCCACCGGTCCGACAAACTGACCAATGGGTGGTAGCCCTTTTAAAGCCTCCCTCACTTCTTCAGGTATACATGGAATTGATGTTGACCCCACTGAGTCAGGATTAAATGAGATAATGTTTGTGATCCTGCTTTGTGTGCTTGAAGGTCTATAATAATGCATAGGGTTGTCACCCTTCCTCTTGTCTGCAAGGATTGGTGCCTGGACTTGCCAGAGGATTTGTCCTCAGGAAGCCAAAATGTCTGCAGGTTTTAGAAGGGTGAATTTCCTTCCTAAAGGCAGGAGGTAAAGACAGAACGTTTCCTATTAGTATTATAATATCCACTCCCGTGTTTACACTTGAAAGCTTCTTGTCCCAGGAGGAGGAAAAGTTGCTGTGGTTGTTCAAGGACCTTCCTAAATTAGTTGTTGAGTTGAGTTTGGATCCCCCCACCCATCTCTAGTATTGAAATTAATTGGTGCAGTTAACTGCTGAGTTCATACAAACCGGCCTCCTGGTATTAAGGCATTAATGACACCAATACACTGCTGAATGAGAAGGCAATACCGCTTCTGTTTGCTGCTGCCGCCACTGCTAATTTCATTTTAGAAAATTAATAAAAATGAATTGCACCACTGACATTTATAGAGTTTCCTAATAAAATGATACATTGTTTGTGTGGTGGAATCCCTATTAAATTAATTGTTGTAATCAGTTCGCATATAGATGTTGGTATAGGAGCTGCAGAGGGACCCATGACTTGTCTGGTGGCTTGCTGATGGCTGGGGGTTATAAATATAGCCCTTGCTCAGACACTGCCCTAATTACAGGGAGGGCCCAGGGAGCCCTGCTCACCTGTTTCATAATGAGGTATGCTACCAGGAGGCTCCCAGGGCTGGGGGCCTCGGGGGTGGCCGGTGTCTCCACAGGGCTGAATGCAGACTGTTGAGACAGCCTGTATTGTATCCTCAGCAACTGGGCCCTTCTCGAAATGGCAGTTTGAAAAATCGCCCTTCAGGAAGTCTTTAGTTGGCACTTGCTGTGTGCTCAGCACTATAATAATATCATTCGGAGGCCCTGGGGAGTTCCACACTCCCCACCTCCTCCAGGTGAATCTGGAATCTTGGTATTCACAACTTCCTGCAGCCTAGGTTGTTCTTTTCTCCTCCTTCCGACCTTTATGCAGGTGTCACTTTCTCTGTGAGGGCTTCCTTGACCACAAGATATAAAATAACATCCCTCTAATCCTCTTTTTCTTATTTTATGTTTCTCTAGAACACTTATCAAGGAACACTAGTGACAAAACGGTTAAGCTCCCAGCTGCCAATTGAGAAGTGATGATTTGAACCCACTCAGCGGTTCCGTGGGTGAAAGACTTGCTCTTGTAAAGATTACAGCCAAGAAAACTGTGTGAGGCAGTTCCATTCTGTCCTATGGGGTTACTGAGTCAGAACTGACACCACTGTGTATGCCAGTCAGAATCTATGTACTATGTATTTCATCTGCTTATTCATTTAAATTATTTATTAAATAATTAAATTAAATAACAGTAAATAATAGTATCCCACTCCCTTTCCCCAAAGGAGTGAGATTTTTAGTTTGGCTTGTTCCCAGCATGTTCTGACACCAAGAATAGTGCTGGGCACAAAATAAGCCCTCCATATATACTTGTCAAATGAATGAGAAGGAG